CTAAAGATACTTCCATTTTAAGTGCATCATCTGTTTTATCTTTACATTTTTGTTACTTTATGTACCATGTGTTTATATTTTATTGACTGTATGCTACAGTATTCAATAAAATAGTGTATTATTTTATGTTAAAATGAGTGTGGTAGGATGGATACCTTTATATCCAGTGATCATTGTCATGTCTGTAATGTAGTTTGAAAGCCAGAACTACATAATTAGCTGAAGTAAAATTATAATTATACTTCAGAGTATTATAAAAATGTCTCTTTTATTTTATGTATTGTTAGAGGCCACTCACTGCTGTTCTAGCCACAGTAATGTTCCCAAACCTGTGTACCAATTGCTGTAATTTTTTTAGTTATTTGCTACTCTTCATGTAAATAAAAATAAAGCTTCAGTTCAGTTCAAATAATGATCAAGAGTTTGTAATACTTTTCTAAGATATCTGTTCAATAAGGTAGTATTTTATAGGATGACGGTTTTGCTTTCAGTATCCTGTAATTAGTGATAACAACATAATAGATGCACAGATTTGTGTGGTGGGAGTGACAGTAGTTTGACATAATATGGGGTCCTGAAATGATGTGTGGTAATAAATCTGAAAAATATAATAAGCAACTTTCATCTAGATAATATTTTTTTAGAGTGTAAAACAGTATGTAGCAGCTGTATGAAATCTGTACTTTTCTTACAGTTTTATGATGGTAAGCAAATAACCACAGAACCTAGGCATGTGAAATTAGGTTTGAAAATAGATCATAATCATGCCTACAAATTATGTATGAAATATTGTTTATAAGTCAACAGTCACAAACATGTTAAGGGTATCAATCTTTGAGATTATGTCCAACAAATTTTGTGAGACAAAATCTGTATTTAAGTTTTACCCACAATGAAAATTATATCATTATAGTCTCTGACATATGTAATTAAAACTTCTGACGTGACCATGATAGGTTCATATGACTGTCTGCATAGAAGTTTATCTTAAGTAAATGTGCTTTCCTTTCTTGCCCCCAGATGTACACATAAGATGTTGAATTTTAACAGGGCCTGTCAGGTGTGGAGAATGTGTATACACAACATAACCCTCTCATCAAAGAGACCTTAGAAGAACTAATCAAAGGAAAGCTGAAGGAAAGTTCTTTCCCTTATCTTGGAAATGGTCAGCTAGCGAGGAGGTGTGTAAAATTATCTTGATATACCCATATGACAACCCTGTGTGTTTGTACCATACATCTGGTGAAGTGGTTAGTACTTCTGCATCATATTTGGGAGTCCTGGATTCAAATCTCAGTCCAGAGACCAGTTATTGTGACTGAGATTTTCCATTTCTACCTTAATTCCTCCAGGCTACTCTAAAATAGATCATGACTGATTACTTCACATCCTTTCCAATTTTTCGTTCACAATCATCCTGCAATTTAATGCTTGGTATCATATATTGAAGAACATTGTAAGTAACCTGTGAACCAATCAGTTATTAAATGTTATGTTCATAGCCTTTGAGGTCAAACCTCAGTTACCAGTCAATTTTAATCCTGATATAATACCCTACAAGTTTCATATTCAGAGAATTGTCAGTTTGATTCCATCTATTACATCAGATATTTGGCAGTGTCCAACTTAATTGTAGTGGAGTAAATTAACTATTGTCATACACCTTTAGAGAAAATCTGTTTTTACATAAAATACATTTTTTGAGATGCTATGTTTAAGCAGTAATGTTGTGATTACAGGCCACAAGATGTCATTGTGTTTATGGTTGGTGGAACCACGTATGAAGAAGCGCTTGCTGTTCATCAGTTGAATAAAAACAACTTCGGGGTTAGGATTGTTTTGGGTGGAACAACTATTCACAATTCAGGCAGTTTCTTTGAAGAGGTTCAGCAAGCAATGCAAGGTGTCACAAGACGTCACATGCGCACAAGGAATTCATGAATTATTCATTGCCACCTCACCACAATGTATGTATATAAACATGACTTCAGTTTTGAAAAATGATGAGTTTTTTGGTAAATATAAATATATCTGCATTCCTGTTAATTATACACATTGTCAATGGAGAAAACCCCTGCTTGACAAAGTGATTTGACCTTTTGAGGTATACAACAAATGACATTCTACAAAGTCCAAATTATCTTCCTTGAATTTCGAAACTGTTACGTTGAGCCTGACATTTCATTGGAACATGATTTTCTAAATGCTATTTGGGTCTCACATATGTCCTCTGCGATTAATTTGAACACATGACAAACTAGCAAAGCAAATCTGAATTTATTGTAAGGTTTTCAGAATTGTCAAACACAATGTGACATCAGGCCAGACTGACCTTAAGGTATGGAAATTTAAATTACTTATGCAACCTTACTGCTGAACTAAGAAGAAATTTAAATGCTTCAAAGTGTGTTTTATTTATTTAATTTTTATGATACAATCTCAAATAAGAACTAGAGTACTAAGAATGAATCCATATGCATATTTATGTAGCACCGAATATGAAGAACGATTCTGTGAAGTACCCAGTATCAAACTAAGTGAGCTGGCTCAAGTGGTAATGCTTCTGACTTGTATTTGACAGGTGCCCATTCCAAATCTCGATAAGGGTACACTCTATCCTATTTCCATTGTTTTTCCCAGTCATTCCAGGCGAATGCTAGTACAGTACCTTGAAACAGACTGTGCTGCTTCCTCTTCAGTCCTTTCAAGTTCACTGCTGTATCTAGGTGAGAAATAACCTTAGTTATATGTTTAGTATCTGCATGGAACACAGAATGTAAACAAAATTTCAGTGTTTGAAGTGTAATTAAGCCCTATTGCAGATTCTCTTACACACATTTGAATTTGTAAGGGTTCATAACTCTTCACTGCGGAAATGGGTAGTGCCACCACAAATAATGTAATCATCTCTACTGTTTTATTTCATGAAGATTTTTAAACCAAATGTGCAGTCGTCTCAAAGAACCTTAAATGGGAACTGTGAGGTATAGAATTTGACCATGAGAATAGCAAAGTGAAGTGTCATATTTTGTTTCATTTTGGAATAACAAATAACACCTTGGAGACAGCAGTAAAATTATTGTACTGTGTTGTTTCATATAGCATCACAGGTTCTTCTTAAATCATAGATGACCAAGCATATACCTTTTTTTAAATAAGAATGTGAGTCTTGAAGTTCATAAATATACAGTGTCCACATGAACTCTCCCCCATTAACAGATTACTTTGGGAGGGATCTGTGACTGATGGAGGCGCATGGTTTGCAGCAGTCTATAGAGTAACTGAAAAAGTTTTACTTAGTACACTTCCAAATGAGCTTCATTAGTAGCTCTCAGGATATCTAAGCTATACTTGATTTCAGCCTGTCTTGTTCAGCATGTCAGATATGATGGTTTGGATGACATCCGTAATTTCTCTGCGGAGTTCAGCAACAACGCATGTCGGGGTGGCATAAACCCTGTCTTTCACATAACCCTACAAGAAAAATCAAGAGGGGTTATGTCTAGAGAACAGGGTGGCCACCTGGATTGTCCATCTCTTCCTATCCATCGCTGTGGGAAGGTTCTTATTAAAATTTATAGTTTTCATTTCAAAATTTCTTGATCTGGTGAAAATTTAATCAAATGCAAGAGGATTTTTCTTTTGTGCCCTTATGTAAGGAAAGACTTTTGAAACATCTCAAAACTTGTACCATAAAGTTACACACAGAATCCATCAAGTGATTAAGGCCTTAAATGTACACACATGTACATAACATCTCCATATGGCATTTGTTTTATACTGTGCATTTATAGTTAGAAAGTGTATGAATTTCACATTTTAGAGGATTTTCACTTTATGAGGCAAGGTTTTAATGTAATGGCATATTACACCACTGACCCTTTATTTTAGGAAAGCACATGAAAGTCAACATTTAGACAATTTCATTTTACCAAATAAGTGCTTAATGTTATAATGGAGTATCACTTTATTGTGCATTTTATGGTTATGAAATGTAGTCATTTTCTGAGGAAGAACATGTACTGCAAGTATATGAAAACAAAGTATTCAGGAAAATATTTGGACAGAGGTGAGGATGTGGAAATAAACAACTTTGTGAATTATATTCTAATAACATTATTAAGGTATGTCATGATTGACATGTGGCGCATGTGATGAGGTGGGAACGTAATTGAGGTGGAATATTCAAGTGTGTACGGGTCTGCTGCATGGAAACCTCTTGGAAAGTAAGAATTTGGAAAGCAAAGATACAGAATGGAATATAGAATTAAAATCATATGAAAAAAGGTTGTGAGGATACAAAGTGGATTCAACTGACACACGATAGAGTCCAATGTCATTTGTATTTGTGGTATTTAGCTTAATATTGTATTTACTGCAGTACAATTTAAAATGAAAACTAGATAAGTGAACTGTATAAATTATTTTTTTTAAATGTAAAATACTTTTAGCCAATGCAAAAAGAATATTAGAAGTCAGTATTACTGTACATGAAACAGATGTCAAATCATACATACTCTGCACTTCTAAATTATAAACAAGTTGAAATTTTTTCTGGCTGTTGCAGAACTTACTAATAATGTATTTTTACCAGCAATATGCTAGAGTAATACAACATTCAATGCTGCAGTCTTAATTTTAATATTCGACTTAACATTGGCCATACCAAATTTGAACACTTTCAGCTGCAAGGATTCATGTTTCCTTCTAGTCTTCAGTATTTTCTGCAGCCTGAAATAAGTCTTTATAGTCAGCAGAATTTTCACTGACTTCATCTTTTGTTGACATCTGTAAGAGAATACAAATATTTGATATCACAAAATCTTATTTGTATAATATGACTAGGCATGACATTGGGCAAAATAAAAATATGCTGTTTCCCCATTCTAACTTCATTCAAAAGCTGCTGTACCTCCTTTATTAAGCTACTGTAAAAGTACTACACTAAGCAAAACTTAAATTAAATCAGTTCCATGCAATTCTCTATTTTCTGAACTGGTCAAATTTTAAGATTCATAACATTACACTACCAAAACATTAAACTTGTCACAAGTTTTGAAAATTATATTCAGGATATGTGTTTTTTAATATTAAATTAAATTAAAACAATTAAATCCGTGGCGTAACAGATCCAGAGAGTCAAAACCGACTAGCTTGACTGCTGGCCTCACGTTCACATGCCTAAGCAGAGCTGAACGATCATCCAACCAGATATAGGGTGATGTGTGGTCAGCATGACGAACCCCCAGCCATTGCTAGCTTTCCTGACTGAATTACGCTACTCATTGTAGCTCCCCAATTTCCTCACGATGCTGGGTTGGCACTGGTCCCATACACTGGTCGAAAGCTCATGAGAAAATTTCTTCTCCCCCGTGACTCGAACCAGCGCGCATTCCGTATCAACGGTCTGAAGCATGATGCCTCAGACCGCGCGGCTACGGCGCAGGACTGTTTTTTAATATTACAAAAATTAACTTCAATATATATGTGAATTTCATCTCTGCTTTCCAATAATTCTTACTTCTTTTTTCCTTCTGATTTTTTTTACAGTTTCTTAATAATGTTACTAAAATTTAAATGTTTCTTCCTTTGTAACTTACTTACAAACTAATATATTGCTTCCATGACATATGCTAGTGAGCAGTACTGTTACAGTTACTAACAGTACATATGAATCTACAATATTTCAAATATATCTGACTTCTTCTATATTCATTCTACCATTATGACAACACTTGCTAGCAGAAGTGTATGGTTGGTCACAAGGTTTCTGGTATATGGTCAATAAATGCAACTGCATACAAAAACATTTAAGAAACATACATTTTCTTTATGCATTCCACTTTTGTAAAGCTCCTGCTATTCTCTCCCACCTCCATAATAAAATGAGCTGGCTCTAGGGCCCATCAAGATGCTCCTGTGACCAAAATTCACCAGGAATCTAATTGGTGGCCCAAAAGAAAAACATGCATACCAAATTTTGTGTTGATGTGGCTGAAATTCCAAGTTCCCAGATATTTATAAAGTGTTGCTGGTTGTAAAATGGTAACAAATCAACTGACCAAAGGAATAAGGGTGTAATGGAAAATAACAGAAGTAAAAGCACTTTGAAGATTTACATTATTAAATAGTTCAGTTAAAATACCTGAACTAATCCAGTGGACAGAGCATAGCCTGTCATAGCTGCAGTTGCAAATATACCAGCAACTATTTGATATCTTCTACGATTAGGAAAATCTGATTCTGGATCTGATTTCCCTTGAGCACCACTTTCTGCAGACTTTTTTGCTTCATATTCTGTTGGTTAAATAGGGTTTTATTAATACATAGTCTTCTAAAAATAAATTTATAAGACACAAACTTGGTACAACTAGATGTAAATGAATTCATTGTTCTTGTCAAAGCTATAGAGATGCCAGTTATTTCATCCTTAGCATAAACTGTTCCATATTGACAGAAAGTTAAAAATAATCTTCCTGAATATGAAGGACAAATATGTTAATCAAATCTGATGGTATGTAATCACACTAAGCTAATATAAGACCTGAATATTTATACATCAAATTTAAATAAAACCTCTTTGCAATGAAATTCATATGATTAAAATATTTGGACTTTGTAGAGGCTTTTAAGAAGTACTCAAATTTTATAATTAGGACTCACAAAAATATCCACAACCAATGGTTCCCAGAATGCCAGCTAAATTTGTACTAGAATGGGAAAGAATTATTTAATGTGTCCCAAATTTCTGTGTTAAGGGAGTTTCATAAGAAAGTGGTTTTATTGTAATTGTACACATTTCAAATTCTGAATTTAAAAAATCAAAATCAGCACTCTATTTTTCTCACATTAAGACTGAATGCGTAGTAGGAGTCCAGTTTTGGCAAATAACATACCTTGGATTGCATAAGGAAAGTATCGTTGTGTAATGCGAACCACAAATTTGACTAGATTTGTGCATGCCTTGAGGTAGTTTTGAAGTGCTGGTGATGGGAATGGCACCTTAAGAAGAGGTGCAAGGAACGCATAAACAGTTGCATCTAACGATGTAGGGTGAGAACCAAAAAAGAATTCTTGATCTCCAAGCCGTACTGAAAGAACAGTAAGGCATTTTTCAGCCTCACCATATACCTGTAATATTCATATGCAAGTTCTATTACATAATTTATTAAAAAAAATTGTAATGTAATATTGATGAACTACACTACCTCTGATATTTCATAAATTATTTAACTATTGCATATAAAAAACGTGAGTTTCTGTTCCTTTCTTAACTATTACTGTAAGTTAATGCAAGGTATCATACATGTTCCATGTATATAACATGGTAGTACAAAAGTAGAATTAATTAGAATGCATAATACTAATAGTTATAGTCTGAATCAGTGGTTTTCAGCTTTTATGTTTGCAGACCAGTAAAACAGCAGTGGGTTTTCTAAGGGTGTGTATCATGTCTCATATTGTACAGTACAAATTACTAGTTTACAAATATAATTACTTATGTGTTGAAACATGTTTCTTTACAATATAAATATTATCACCTTTACGTTTTATCAAAATCGAAGAGATATCATAAGCACCATTACTGAACATTCAAGATTAAAAATTATTCACAAGGATATACAAAATAATTTAAGTTGTTGGATCAGTAAATGATAAAAAGAAAAATAATAAATGACTTGTTTAGAGAGAGTGCAGAAATGTAATGTAGTTGAACACAAACTTTTTACTTTCTAAAGGGGAAAGAAAAATGAAAAAAGCAACTTATTGTAAAATGTTTGTTCATCTGTGGTAAAATATGCTAAAAGATATAGTGACTCATTCTTATGTCAGAAATGACCAATGTAAAGTGAAAACTTCTTAGAAAAAGGAAGAAAATTCTTAATTCAGGTTTATTTAATGGAAATAAGCACAAAGCGTATATTTTATCAAGATTATTTGTGTTCAAATTAGTTTTTATATTATTTCTAAACAGATCATTATGAAAAGTATACATGACAAAATATTTGTCTTGTGTATATAATATTTATCCAGATTTTGATGTGTAAGAAAAGAGGCAAATATGAAAAACTTATTTGGCTCTTAAAGCAAGTAAAGTACCAATCCTATGCAGTGGAAGTAGCTCAAATTCATACTTTTTTATGGTTTTATCAGGGTCTCTCATACAAAATGTATGAAAATATGAGGAAGGATCAAGAAGGTAGAGGATGGGACGTGGACATGCAAGGATTTCAGAATGCATTCACATTTACATATTCATACAGAACTACTAAAAAGAAAAGTCACAACCTATTGTAAGGTAAGCTTATGTCACAAACAAAAACAGAAGTGTTTTCTTTTGATATTTTAATATGGTTACACTTGTCTAAAGCAGACTATTGTTTACTGCATAAATATCAATGTCATACAACCAAATATTCACAATGTAAAGAAACTTGCCTTTCTTTTACAGACAGGACAACCAACTTCACATAAATCTCCCCCTCATTCGAATTTGATATCCTTGATTTTAGAATGGCATTATGTTCTTGTAAGAAATATCAGTAAAATTAAATATCATGTTGGTCAGGCAGACCAATCAGTCTTGAGAATGGTTAGTTATTAATATTAAATGTGAAGCTGGGACTGTTCAGGTGACTTGGGACCATAATTTCAATGCATGATTCCCAGCTGCACCATTGTCTCACAGAAAGTTTCTGTTTTGATTCATTTAAGTTATATATATTGTAACAATCCACAGGCCTCTGTAAAATATGTACTAAGAGGCAAGTTTGGGGGTAGGAGAATTAAAGGGATGTGTCTTGAGTGTCCAGAGGGAATTACTTTCTTCTTTCTACAGAAACTGACATACATAATTAAAACATATCCAAATCACTGAGGATATTGTTGAGGAAGTTCACATCATTCATTAAGATATGTGGAGGGATTGTATTTTATTCAAATCATAAGTGTCCCCCTACCCTACGAACCACATGTTCTAGACCTCTACGTGGAGGTGAGTGGTCAGCCCCTTTACCTCTGAAGAAGTCCCCATTGGGCAGAAGAGTGCATAGGTCCTACCATGGCCAGACTTGTGCCAAAGAGGAAATCTCCATCTCTGTAGGGAATTAGACCCCAGTTGTCATGTCTGTAGTTAGTCACTTAACTGAGCTGTCATGGCTCATTAAAATAATGCTTGGTCTTCCAATATGAATATGTTAAGAACTAGTTCCATTGTTATATATTCAGTATTATATATGTTTTAATTAATGAGAATAGCTAATTGTATAGATGTAGCTATAGGACCTCGCTGTAAACATAAGCAGAAAACATAAATAGAAAGCTGCTCATGATGCATGCTGTTCATGATTTTCTAAGTGGTGGAGCAAGTGAGAATAAATATACAGGATGTCCACAGCTTAACTACGTGCTCTTGGGATCATTCTGAATCAAAAAGTTCAAATAAATGTGGGTCCAATCAATAATTTAAATTAAAATATTTGCTTGTTTACCGAAGATTCAATGGTCAGTGGGTCATCATCTTGATCATATAAAGCTTCCAGATGCTTCTTTGCTTCCTGTTCATACTTTCCTGGGTAATAGTAGTTGTATGGGAAAGGAAGGGCTTTTGCATACCATGGTCGGATCAGTTCTGTGTAATTCTTTGTATCTAGCCACCTGAAACAGTATCTTGTATTTTATACCTATGCACATTGAATGCTGGAAAATTCTTGTTCAAATAATCCACAAGCTTTTCCCATAAATGCTACACAATGTTATCAAGCTTTTATGTCACAGAAAAAATTATCATCTTGTGAAACATCTGGTACACACAAATATTCTAACTAATTAAACTGTGGCTTCTTATGTGGTATTAAAGGAACAGGCAACTGATGTTTGTGTCTGAGTGTCCTTAAACATGCAGAATAGTAAATGTAAATAAGTACATAACCATCACTACATATTTAACTGAAGGCCTATTTTATAAAAGCTCTACAGAATTTGAACTGGGGAGGGGAGATACATGTAAATGCTTGATACTTCTATGTGGAAGTTTCTGTAGACAGAGCATAACAATAAGCATATAATGTCACCAATGGTAACCCTGGTCTAGAAGTCACGTTCAGAAATTTGGTATCAATAAATCCCCCAAACAACTGTGCCACAATGCTGTGATATGTTTAATAACAAGAATAATAATAATATTATGCCACTGTTGTGTTATATGGTAAAACATTTATTTTGCGTTACTCCAATTTTAGTTGAATGGTGGCACACTACTAGCCAGATCATGCATTCAGTACTGATTATTACTAACCAAAGCAGCATATAGTCAGTGCAGTGACCAATATATCTGCCACCACATAAGAGAGTACTTCAAGTTATAATTTTGATTCTTCCAGTCTACTTTCCCTGGAAATTTTCATTATCAGTGTGGACAAGTGGGATACAAAATGACATTAGTTTCTGCTGTTACATGAATTAATTCCTTGAGGGACGTCTTCATGTGTAATAATCAATCTTGATATTAAGTGAAGTACTGGAGGTCTGTTAGAAACATAGCTGAAAATGAATGAACAGTTCTATCTACTTAGTTACATCATTCAACATGGGAGGAATCTATTACTGTCCCCACACATCATCACAGAGAATCTACTGCCATCCATTGTCCGACATGAAGCAAACAGGAAGAAACTTAATTCAGTTGCATCTGACTTGCAAAAGAACTGTTGATCTCAAACTTAAATGTAACTGTTCACATAATCAAGTGCTATTAATCACTAGCACTATATGCTTTCAGTAAAACTTACCATACATATTGAAGGGCAAGATGTAACTTTTCTTTGAGAAGTTGAGTATATGCTGCTGCATCTGCACATTGTTTCTGAGTTAGACCAAAATCAGCACTAAAATTCTGAAAGTGAATTAATGTGACCAGTGTTAGACACTGGGTGAGGCATTTCAAGAGTGACAAATTTTATATTACTGACAGGTCTCAGAACAGTGACAGTGCAAAATAGGAGCTTGAATAATGCACTCTTAAAAATGAGTGGCACATCACAAAACAGTTGTATGAGGTAGTGAATACTGGGAAAGCAGCAGCAATAAATATCACAGAGAAATCAAACGTTCCAAGATTTGTGCATTGTTGGTCCCAAGAGCAGCTCAAGTCTCTCTTTGAGAATTGTGAATCTGAAGGCAGAATTTATCATCATCCATTATTACAGGTTATAATGAAAGATCACCATTATTATTCTCAATCCAAGGAACAGTCTATAAAGTGACACCAATGAGAAATACAAAAATCAGAAGACAGCCGTCTGTAGGCAAGACATCTGTATTGAGCACAGAAACTTTATGGAAAAAAGGATCACAGTTACTCAGAATACTAATTTGAGAACCTAACAGAACTGAAATTCAGCATCCAAAGATCAATTCTGACCAAAACATGAACGAAGCTCTCCTTTGCAGCAGCACTTGGCCTCACACAAGTTTGCAAATATTTCAGGAAATCAAGCCACATTATTGAACATTCTCCTCCATTCTGCTTATAAGTTGGATCTTGTAACCTTACATATTTTAGGCCCACTAAACAATTGATTATATGAACAATGATTTAAGGATGGCATAGACAAAAGTTGACCAAGGCGTTTTACATTAGTATTCAGTGCATGGTTCAACACTTGCAAATGTGCACAGAAATTGACAGGGATTAATAGGAAAATAGCCTTACTTTCAATACATTTATAAGCATCTTAATAGGATTTGAGGTTTTCAAAGTGGTCAGTCTGAAGACAGCTGTCTTCTGGGTCGATCGTCCTGATGATGGAGGCGACAAGGACCTCTTAAATGTTGGTGAACTTCTACCAGACTATATGGCACAACAACCAGAAGACAGCCATCTTAAATCTTAGTGGGGGGGGGGGGGGGGGGGGGACAAGTCAAACACTGCAAGCCCTGAAACAAAGCTGCAGTAAGTATATGCAAGTAGCAGCAACAATAACAATCCAAGATGGAGTTATCAGTGACAATGTCATTATCAAACTGAATATTTTTGTGACATAAGCAAATAGAATGTAACATAATTGTACATGAGATTCACAGATTTTACTTGAGAGCCCGTCTATCATTTGTATAAGAACAAGAAGAGAGATTAGCCCACATTGTTTGGATTATGCATTTTTCTGAATTGTCTGTGCTGGTTCTCCATTCCATTACTGTTGACAGACTAACTGTTTAGCAGTAAATGGAAATAATATGACGGTTAAAACAGTTGCACCGAACATTGGCAAACTACACAACACTTCCAAAACATTATGCGTATTGTAATGTAAATGAAATTACATAAATTACCTTTTGCTTTAGATATGCTGAAATTTCAGGCAAACTACTCAAAACTTGTTTACCATGTTTGAAGACTGGTAACCTTCCATTTGGCGTCCAAAATGGGTTGTTGGTCACACATGTTTGTAAAGGAACTCCTGAAAACTTTGCATATGCCTGTAAAATGATAGACTGTAAATATGACTGTGTATTAACTTACCTTATTTGCCTTCAGATAAAATTATAATGTAGTTATATTTCATTTAAAATTCCAGTGGAGCAGCAAAATAAAATGAGGCGTACTTTACTATCAGTGACCAGTCTGCTAACTGAACTTTTTTGGCTCTGACACTGGTGTGGTTCATCTTGCTTGTTTGCCTTCTACTTTTGACCATCACCACATATCGCATGCTAATCAGATGGAAGGTGCTGCTTATCTAAGTTATTTTTGGTTTATTTAATGATTCCTTATCAATTCCATAGGCTGCACAGCATCAAATAGCAGCATAACTATCAATGATGGATTTGGAAGTCTGTAGTATGACCAAGGCCTTTTTAAGTTGCTACTCCATATCTGCACATAGGGGTGGAGGAAAACCACAAAAGAATTAAAGCCAGTGTGGATGGTTTTCTGGTTGAATTTCAAACTTGGGGCCTCCTAAGTAAAAATCAGGAATGACAGAACCATGACATTTGGTGTCTTGAAGTTAATCTGTACTACTTTTCCAAGGTGTTTTCATATACGTTATTTCTTTTTCAGAAACTCATGTTAAAACAAAATATATGTCTAGCTTTAACTTGTTTAATGTCCCTATATATGTCAGTGATGAGATGTATGGTACAAAAAATGTAAGTAGCAACTTGCTACAACTTTTCTCTTTTGAAACTTGAAGGTAATGGAAGGATGGTTTAGCATATGAAACAGGAAAGGCTGAATCCATTTACTGTTCTGTGTATAAAAAACACTACAGAAATATTACACATCGAGGATGAAACAAATTGTGTTTTACGTAACATGTGTACCTTGGCTTAAAAATGGCTCTTTATATAAGACTGCTGTAGGTATTTACTCCAGCAGTGGAAAATCATGATCAGCATAAGTCGTGTAGATGTCTGTTTACTATCGTGGTTTATTGATTCTTTTGTAACTAGTTACCTTATTTATACCCATCAGTTGCCCATGTCACTTAACTGGAAAGCACGTTAAATGTTAGTTTTATATGTAATGGAGGTGACCGACTACACACTGATAGAAAAAGTAAAAAACAACTCAGACCAATCTTAAAAAAATATTAAAAGAAATCAGTGTTAACATCCAATTGGAACTTTCTATAAACATCTTGGAATTGTACAGGTTCAATACCACGCACATTTCAGAGTAATTTCTGTTCCTTACTTGTTAGGTTTGGTTGACTTGGTGCAAGAGGACACATTCTACATTGTTCTTACATGTCTGGATACCAAGACGTTACACTTAAAATAGGCCAATGAAATGTATGTTTTATCACCTAATCACTGACATGTTTACAGTCTGCTGCTGAGTTCTCCATAACGTCAACGTTAAATGCATTACATTTACTTCCTAACAGTTTCCCAGATATCTCAGGAATTTTCCACAATCTCATTTAAATATGTGCTTCCTAAACATTTTTTAACAGAAAAATGATTATTATTGGACTAACAACCTCAATGAGCACTCAATACCTCTTACCATAACTTCTAGACAATATATATCAACTGAAGGAAGCCCCCAGTCACCTCCCCATATATTAATTTCCATAGGGCGATTCATGTTTGGTTCTAAATTTGTTGACTTTCACACTGATACCCAATATATCACAGTAGGTAATAATATCCCTACTTAAAGTTCATCTTATCTGAATATTAATTAGTTTAATCGTTAAGTAATTTAAATTTTAAATGTTGCAAAAACACTGTTGAATATCGCTCTTAACCTCAACACAATTGCATCATTGGTCACACGAGATACTTTTACCCTATTAACCTTAACCATTCTCGTTTTATCGATTCGTCCACAGGGTTGCCAATAAGAATTTGGATAATTGTATTTCCCGTAGAGATGGCTATCTTCTGTGATATTGAGACGTGTTATGGCAAAATATCGACCACGTTTCAGAACACAGTAGATTTGCAAACCAGCTTACGCTATGTTTATTGCTTCCAACATTATCCTGAAGACAATCAGTAATCTATGACAGACTTCAGGTTGTCTCAGACATACGAACTTGTAATTGTGACGTATTTCTGAACGGGTTATTTATTTTTACAAAAACCCCTTTAGTTTGGTCATTAGGTGTATGGTTTAAATGGTATGAAATGGACTATCCTATCAAACAAGGAAATTTAGATACAAAATTCTCTATCTGTGAAGATTTCTAGCACTGCGTAAGGAGCTGTAATGGTATTCTGTGTCCTGTGAAACGATTAATAAAATTTTTTCCATCATCGGCATTTATATATTTCATATTATGCAAAATGTAAGTGGGAAGCATCTTTCGTTTTTGGAATTGCAGTACATATGATGGGCAACGTTCAGTGAATGTCATGATGAATATATTTTAAATATTTTTTTAAAAAAAGAAAGCAGCTAATTGTTTAGTCTTTGAACAGTGCAGCTGTCATCTTCGATATTTCAAAATTGTGGGCAATTTGGATTTGAGAAGTATTGTAATGAAATATCTGAGAAGTTAATGCCTAACAATCTTCGCAGTTCACCACCGAATAATTTGTGCAAGGTATATATGCCTGTTTGTTCGACTCAGTTGTGATTATGGTTACTAAAAGTGTATACATGTTCAGAACTAACCACATTCATTTTCATTATTTACAGATTTTTAAAATGATATTTTCTTGTCAAGACCACACATTTAATACCGATGATATAGATATAGTGTTAGATTTCATAAATACCAAAGACAAATGCATTAAAAATTGCAGATAAATACCAGTACCGAGGTCCGAAAGCATATATGTTAATACAACTTTCATAGTTCAAACATGACTTTTTATTATGAATGGTTTATAAGTTCTCCAGTTTCACGTTTTGTGATTTCTACAGAATGTGTTTAAAATTACAATGGAAACTACAAGAAAAATTGAATAAATGGATGCAGCTTCCCTGTCTCATGGCATTCTTTCCTTTCCACAGCACTTGATTTGTCTTATGTACAGCATAAAGTTCAATTAGACGTTAAGTAGAATGGCCCTTAAAATGAATTAAAGACAATGAAATATAAATGTGAAAATAATAATAATAGAAATCATGTACATCTAGTTTCATCTAAATTGGTCAGAAGTACTTAAAAAATATGTATAAATGGTAATTAACCCTGTAAGTAAAGTCAAGCTCTTAAAGTGAACAAAACAAAAACCAACATTAAATGATTTAACAAAATATAGTGTAGGTCTACCAGGCTGACTTTGAATAAGATTGTGTTATTAGTAGGCAGATGAACAGGTATAGTGAATCTAATGGGTGGAAGCAAAAAGATAAGATATGGAAGAGTTCATTTGGGTTAGATTAGTTGGGTGGTCTTCAACATTTCATTTTACCCATGACCAAACATTGTGGTAGAGTGGTTAACATACTTGTTTAGTATTTGAGAGGTCCCAACTTCAAATCTTGGCCCGGCTACCCTGACAGGGTTTTTGTGGTTTTCCTCTGTCTTTCCAGGCAAATGCCAGGATAGTTCCTTCTTAGCCCCTTCTTCTGTTTCAATTCATTATTCACTATCCTCCTCTCAATCAACACTATAAAATCTGAGCTATTGAAAAATGTGGTTAAATAAACTATAAATAAATAAATATTTTGCCCATGAGTGAGGCTCATTATTAGTATATAAGAGGTTAAAGATAAAAAATATTTAGTGTCGATAGCAATGCTTCAGTTTGTCTTTTTGTTTACAAATACAGCAGTGAAGATGACACCAGAAGAATTTATGCATCAAAAGAGCCAGATCCTGGATGGAATTGATTTGAGTCGTAAAGGCTGCATTGACGATCCTATTAAAGGTTTAGTACAATTTATAAATGAAGGAATTGAATTTGTCACCACAAGTTCTTGCTCAGGAAGAGTTATTATATTCTGTGAGGTATGTATTCTCAATAAGTGGTTGATGTAACTTTCATTGTTTGAAGGTCTATATTTGTTGTAATCATTATAATTCAGTTAACAGTTAATCATACGTATTTTACTTACACATTGTTTTAACACAGTTACTTCATGTACTATTCGGTTATACTTGCCAAGGATTACAGCTGATTGACTTGGTTGAACTGAAGCAATGAAATTTCACATGATTCCAATCAATGAATCAGATCCATTTGAGTTGTAGCTCTCACTAATATAAATACAGGAATACAAATTATGAAGATTCTTTTTATTCAGTTTTCTCCATCTTCCTGTTACTGAAGTCTGAATATTCTCAGCACCCTGTCCTGAAACACCCTCAATCTGTGGTCTTCCCATAATGGGGAGACCATGTTTCACACCCATACAAAATAACAGAGTTACAAAGAACCAATTTATGAAGCATGTTGCCA